AGTTATTTAATGTGTATTTAAACATATTAATGTAATACAACTTACCAGTCCTTATGTTATGGCTGCATTTTTTTTCACTGACGGCACTATATCTATAGAGGCAGTGGTGTAACAAGGGGCCTGCCCCAAGGCCAGGTTCCTCATTGCGCCCCCCCCCCCCAACCCCCACACACACACACACACACCCCCATGGAGAATGGCAGCAGACCTGCAGGCTGCATACAAGTGATCTCGATGACATCGTCGAGATCACTTGTACAAAACAAGTGGCGGCTACATCGCGGTACATTTAGTTCTGCTTGCCCAAAGCAGGCCTAAATGTAGAAAATTACTACCCGCCCGGCTCCCGGAGAACTACATGTCCCGATCGTCGGGAGATAGGAATTCCACACCCCTGCTGCCCCTCTACTCCCTGCTGCCCCGAAGCCGGGCCTTGGCTGGCCTTGTGGGAAATCCAGCCCTGGGATTAAGGTATATATCTACTGCTTGGTAGCAGTAGATACAGTCGTGCTCATAAGTTTACATACCCTGGCCGAATTTATGATTTCCTGGCCATTTTTCAGAGAATATGAATGATAACACGAAAACCTTTCTGTCACTCATAATGACAACAGAAACTACCCAAATGACCCTGATCAAAAGTTTACCTACCCTGGTGATTTTGGCCTGAAAACATGCACACAGGTTGACACAAAGGGGTGTGCATGGCTATTAAAGGGAACCATCCTCACCTGTGATCTGTTGGCATGTAATCAGTGTGTGTGTATATAAGGCCAATGAGTTTCTGGCCTCCTGACAGACCCTTGCATCCTTCATCCAGTGCTGCACTGACGTGTCTGGATTCTGAGTCATGGGGAAAGCAAAATAATTGTCAAAGGACCTGTGGGAAAAGGTAGTTGAACTGTATAGAACAGGAGAGGGATATAAAAAGATATCCAAGGAATTGAGAATGCCAATCAGCAGTGTTCAAACTCTAATCAAGAAGTGGAACATGAGGGGTTCTGTTGAAACCAAACCATGGTCAGGTAGACCAACTAAATTGTCAGCCACAACTGCCAGGAAAATTGTTTGGGATGCTAAGAAAAACCCGCAAATAACTTCAGGTGATATACAGGACACTCTGAAAACATGTGGTGTGGCTGTTGCAAGATGCACAATAAGGAGGCACTTGAAGAAAGATGGGCTGCATGGCCGAGTCGCCAGAAGAAAGTCATTACTACGCAAATGCCACAAAGTATCCCGCTTACAATACGCCAAACAGCACAGAGACAAGCCTGAAACCTTTTGGCACAAAGTCATTTGGAGTGATGAGACCAAAATTGAGCTTTTCGGCCACAACCATAAACTCTAGATTTGGAGAGGAGTCAACAAGGCCGATAATGAAAAGTACACCATTCCTGCTGTGACACACGGAGGTGGATCGCTGATGTTTTGGGGATGTGTGTGCTACAAAGGCACAGGAAAGTTGGTCAGAATTGATGGCACGATGAATGCAGTATGTTATCAAAAGATACTGGAATGTCCAAGTACGTCCCATGCGCAGCTTCTGGGCTGATGCAGGCAAATTGTCCTCCAGTATTGTGAATGTGCATAAAATGCCATTCATCATTTACTACCATGGATGGCATATTATTAACGGTCACAAATAAGCATTAAAACAAAATACTTTTGTGAATACGTGCCTGTCTTCTTGTTAATCCCGGGCTGTGCGCAGATGCTGAGGTCAGCAAATCAAATGGGGTCAGCGTACTTGACAGAACACCGGCCATATCCCCGCCTGACTCTTAGTAAACTGAGATGCTCTGGCTGGCGTCCCACCCATCTCCCGGGAACCAGTGATGTCACTGGATGTCAGGAGCTGAGCATGGCACCGACCTGAACCAGATCCAGAGCAGGCCCGGGGAGATGATGCAGAGGCCACAGGCCCCGTCCCCACCACCACCACCCACCCTGGCCCCTACAACCCCCTTAGTTAGGTGCACTACCAGCACCTGCCTACACCACCTCAGGCCGCTAACAGGCTAGGGACCCCCCTGCATATGCATATAAAAACAATACATATGGTGTCAATGGACCCTTAGGATTACACACCACTGTAAGTTTCTCTTCCCGATCCTCTGATAGGCCACTTACGCTAGCCATACTCGTGTAGATTTTTTTAAAATTCAGCCCCACAGGGCCGTATTTAAAAAATACAGGACGTGTAACCATGGCGCCGAGGCCTATACGTGATCATTTACAGTGTTGCATTTTAATGTGAGCACACACATACTGTGTTTCCCCGAAAATAAGACACTGTCTTATATTTTTTTGGCTCAAAAAAACACACTAGGTCTTATTTTCGGTGTAGGTCTTATTTTCGGGGAAACAGGGTAGATCCGAATGCCCCTAAAGGTACCCAAAAGAAGTAATAATTGGCATTGCCCATGACAACGGCAGATTCTGTTATTTATAAATTGAAAGTAGGATGAATGGGGGAACCTGATTGGCTGAGTATTTTCCGACACTCTGACGAGGTGCAGACCAGCCTCTGCCACCCCTAACATTACCCAGTGATGAGCGGCGGTCCCATACAAAGCCCTCACTATATTTCATTCTTCATTTTGTAAAATCTAATGTTACACTCAGCACAAGTCTGCAAGAACAGATCCATTGATTGCCGTATTGATATATGTTCCCCGTTTGGCACATACAATGCGCAGAAAAGTCGCTGTAGAAGTTCACGTTTGCCAAAAATATCAACTAACCATTTTGTTTTTTTTGGTACATCTGGCACCCGTGAAATATGGCAAATCACAAGCAGATGGAAAGGCCACTAATACCTAACAGGAGACTTGGGGGGGGGCTTTATCCTCGACTACATGCGGGCTTGTCAGGACAACATTCAGCTCTGTATTCAATAAGACGTCATTAAATTAATTTTATTTATATGCGAGCAGTGTAAGTACCTGAGTTTGGTCTGATATCATCCTCCTGCATTCACTGTACAGCAGAGCTTAGACTAGGAGAGGAACAGACAGAACAAGGAGCCAATCAAAGCTCATGTGCTAACAAGGGACATGCTGATAAGAGGAGAGAGCAGAGTTCTGGAGAAATGAGCTCATCTGCTTTCACTGTCCAGTGATATGCTGGGGGAGGGTCAAGACCTGTAAATGTTAATTAAAGGAGAACTATGAGGTGAGCGTTTCTCACTCATCCTCATAGTTAAAGCCGACCTGTGACAAAGAAGCTGTCACAGGTCAGCTCTATCGTTCGGGAAGTGAGCAGAAACATGCACCGATCCGCTCACTTCCCGATCGCCTCCCTGCAGTGGGCCCCGTTCCCACTGCGCGATATGCAAATCGCGCGTTTGTCGCGCGATTTGCATATTGCGCGAGATTTGCCGCGCGATGTCGCGTTCAAGCTTGCATTGAGCAAGCTTGAATCGCGGCTAAATCCGCTCCAAAAAGGGTCCTGCTGTAGCGACACACGACCCGTGACAGCAGGACCCTTTGCCCCATTGGATTGCATTGGAGCGCGATATCGCGAGGTAATTTGCCGCGATATCGTGGGAATTACCACGCGATAAATCGCTCAATGTGAACGGGGTCTGAGTGAGTGGTGACTGCCAGCTGGTCCATAAGTGTCCATGAGTGACATCATGGGACTAATAGACCCCTGATGTCTTCAAAAAAGAGGACCTGTCACTTCCTCTGTACTATCACATAGTTAGCTCCCTATGTGATAACAATAAAGTTAAGTGTAAACAAAAAAAAAGGTAAAAAAATCAAGTGTAAAAAATAAAAAAACACATTTTTTTTTTGAGCCCTCCACCCCCCATATACACAAATGTACACAAACAATAAATTATATACACAAATAATAAGTCACACTTCTTTGTGACTGAGGCCCCATTTACATGTAGCGACTTATCGCCGCGATATCGCGCATTTTTGCCACGCGATATCGCGAGAAGTCGCCGGCTAATGATAGTCAATGGAGCTGTCTTAGCTCCATGTCGCTCGTCGCGGTCGCAAGTCGCTTCTACAGGACCCTTTTTTCGGCAGATTTTGCTTTTTTTCTAATGGAGCCAGACGGAGAAGGTCGCGCTACCGCCGCTGGATCTTCGCTGGAACGTCGCCCCATCCCGGCCGCTGCAAAGGTATGTCGCTACATGTGAATGGGGCCTTATTGTTCGCATACAAAATACAGCAAATGTCCATCATCTAATGCAGAGGTGGGCTAACTCTGACCCCCCAGCTGCGGTGAAACTACAAATCCCAAGATGCACCTGTCTCTGGGACTCATGCCTGTGGCTGTAAGAGTATTGCAATGCCTCATGGGATTTGTAGTTGCACAACAGATGGAGGGCTGGAGTTTGCCCACCCCTGATCTAATGTGCATTTAAAGAAAATAGACAGCATTCTGTTTGCTAAAATACTATGGGGGGATTTATCAAAACTGGAGCAGACAGGATGTGGAGCAGTCGCCAATGGCAAGCAGTCATTCATTTTTCATGGCTTAACCAAACAAACAAAGAGAGACACTGATTGGTTGCTATGGAAACTGCTCCAGATTCTGCCTGCTCCCCTTTTTATGAATTCCCCCCATGTATCTTAACCAAATGCCATGTTTTTTTTTTTATTGCATACAATATATATATATTTTTTTAAATCTCAGTTCTGCTGAACTCCTCCAGGCCCCTATCAGCCACTTTCTGTCTGCATGCACTCCACCATCAGCTGCACATCATTGCTCTGGACCGGTTTCCTGATCTTCGGTTAACCATGTCTTCTCAATGTGAGTCATAACAGCCACTTGTAGCTTGCTCCAGGGGTGCATGTGACAGGGTGACACAACGCAGATGCACCATTAGGAGACAGGAAGTGCCTGAACATGGACCATCATGGTGGGATCCCTTGGTGTTATCGGTGTTATCTTATTGAAAGCTGTTTAAGAAGATTGAAAACAACTCCTGAAAAAAATATTAACATGTCAAAAATGTGTTTGTGATTGTGCAGCTCCACTCGGGACTCACTCTATGGTATGGTGATCAGACCGGGGTAAGGACATGATTCAGACTGTCCCAGATCCATCAGCTCATATAAAGGTGAGTGAACGACATCTTTACAATATAGCAAGCTGCTTGATGACAGATGTAGTTTTGGTTTACTATGAATTTGTATGTAAGTGAGCTCTTGGGGGGGTTTGCTGGATGGTGCAGCCGCTAAGAGCCGGGCAGGGAGATGTGTAAGGGCTCTGCATCACCCCGTCCAGCTCTTAGCAACCTGGGATGCGCTGGCTTGCATCCTCCCGAGCTTCTGCCAGTCACGTCAATGGTTGCCAGGTGCTCGGCGAGACGCTGACCAGAGCATGCCGGGTTGCTAAGAGCTGGATGAGGAGATGTGTATGGGCCTTACACATCTCCCTGTCCAGCTCTTAGCAACCCAGCATGCTCTGGCCGGCGCCCCGCCGAGCTTCTGCCAGTCACGTCAATGGTTGCCAGGAGCTCGGTGGGACGCCAGCCAGAGCATCTCAGGTTGCTAAGAGCTGGATGAGGAGATGTGTATGAGCCTTACACATCTCCCTGTCCAGCTCTTAGCAACCCAGCATGCTCTGGCCGGCGCCCCGCCGAGCTTCTGCCAGTCACGTCAATGGTTGCCAGGAGCTCGGTGGGACGCCGGCCAGAGCATCCCAGGTTGATAAGAGCTGGATGAGGAGATGTGATGCCTTATACATCTCCCCGTCCGCCTCTTAGCAACCTGGGATGCTCTGGCTGGAAAGAGGGCGGCAAGTACACTGCAAACATTGACAGTAATTGATTGTGTACTGAAGCCTCGTTGTGTTATAGGAATTGTATCCTGAAGGAACCACCACCCATGTGGATCAAATGACCATCGTCTGGTTCTGCAATTCACCCGTCAGATTGCTTTTTTAGTGGGCGGTGAATGTTTTAGGTTTGAAGTCACAGCATGTGTTATACATATTCTCTATTAGTCCAGTCCCACCAAAATTCTTTTATTTTCCAGTAAAGGATTAGAAACTCTGTTAGGTTGTCAGTGTCCCTACTGGGGAGATTTTCCCTCATTTCCTGTTCTCTCATGCATCACACGCTGTGATTAAAGTGTCTGTCAGAATCAACAGGAAGTGAGAGAAAATCTGACCAAAGGAAAGTTGGGCTTCAACTAAATGTCATATTGGAAAAGAGAAAAATAGCACTGCGCTTCAACAAACTCAAAATATATTCCTAAAATGTGAGAAAAATGTTAAAGGAGAACTATGAGGGGCGTGCTTTTCACTCACCTCATAGTTCTAGCCGGCCTGTGACAATGAGACTGTCACAGGTCGGCTCAGTAGATCGGGAGGTGAGCGAACACATACCGGGTTCCCTCACCTCTCGATCCTGTCACGGCTCTCTGCCGTGACAGGGGAGGGGCTGGATTCCCCCCTCCCATCCGCCATGCTGACTGGCGGAACGGACGGGGAAGGGGCGGGTACAGCTGGCTCTGCCTCTAGATAGGCAGAGCCAGCTGTCGGTCACGCAGCTGGGCGGATCCCGGCACAATTGTCGGTATCCGCTTCAGCTGCGGGCCGCGGCGTCTCAGTATACCGCAAGCAGTAGCTCGCTGTATGCTGCGGCGTCTCAGTATACCGCGAGCTACAGCTCGCAGTATACTGAGCCTTGGGTGACGGGAGGACGCTAGTTTGTGTCCTCCCGTTACTCTAAGGAGAACTACGGTGAAAAGACTTAACCCCATAGTTCTCCTTCAAGTTTTAGGAATATATTTTGAGTTTGTTGAAGCGCGGTGCTATTTTTCTCTTTTCCAATTTTGGGTGTACTCACCTGCTAAGCACAGGTGCTCTTAGAGTGTTATTGGATTCCTAGCACAGTTTATCTCTATTTAACACTAAATGTCATATTGTTGTTTTTGTTTTGTTTTTATCTTCAGTCTGTACACTAAAAGGCAATTTTGTTTATTTATATAGAATTGGGGATACATGGCCAACATTTGCAGAAATTACACAAATAAATCTTTTAAATGTCCCCATTTTGGCTAAATGCATTGGAGTAAATGGTGATGGTGAAATCATGGTGTTTTTTTAGGTTGTTTTTAAAGAAGAACTCCGGGCTTTAGAAAAAATAACCCTTGCAGTGGGGCTTCCTCCGTACTGCAAGGGTTAACTGTTCGTTTTAGTCTAGGAGCAGAATTAAAGAAGGTATACTCATCTGATCCTCGATTCCGCCTGGCTGCTAGACCAGTGCCTGCAGTGTCTTCTCCTCTGGACTCCGGCGGTCTAAGGACCGCTGATGTCATCATGTCTGTACAGTCTATTAGATGTGATGACACCGAGGGACATACTACTGCCAGTGCAGAGGGGGAGAGAGGTGAGCGGTCACTGCCACACGACTGAGGATTGCGTACGTTTTTCTTCTTTATTAGCGCTCCTAGAGAGAAAATGAGCAGTTAACCCTTGCAGTGCGGTGGTAGCCTCACTGCAAGGGTTAATTTTTCTAAAACATGGGTGCAGTGGGCTTTAAATAGCTTCCAGACATGTTCTTGTGCCAAAAAAAATGGACTATGATTAGCCTTTATATTTTCACAAAGTTTGAGGCTATATCTGTAGCTGGCTGAGTGGCCTCCTGTGGTCTTAAAGCAGAACTCCGGGCAAACTTTTCCTTAACCCTTGCAGTGGGGCTACCCCAGCACTACTCTGCCTGACGCCCCCCAATCCACGTGCTGCCACATTATAGGGATGGCACAGGGGTGCAGTTTCAGTTCTTGCGGCTCTCTGCTCAGGCATATCAGAGGGCCCTTGGGTCATGTCGGGCCGGCCCCGTTTCAGGTCAGGTAGGGCCGGCCGTGATTCAGGTCTGTTGGGTCAGCCCAGCCGCAATTCGGGTCGGCCCATTTACAGCTCCACCCTCCTCCTATTTTAATCCGGCCCTGCCTGGTTGGGCCAGCCACGATTCAAGTCGAGTTGGGTCGGGTCGGCCGCTATTCAGGTCAGGTATGGCCGGCCGTGATTCGGGTCTGTTGGGTCGGCCCGGCCGCGATTCGGGTCGGCCCATTTACAGCTCCTCTATGTTAATCCGGCCCTATTGTCCAATGGAAGGCTCTGACCTACCGATACCTAAATCCAATTGACTTTATTTGGGGGGGGCAGGTAGCGTATAAAAGATCCAGAAAGCCACGCTGGTGTTGGGGACTGAATAAAACACCCCATTGCTGCAGGGAAACTGTACTAAGCACAAGGCCAGGGGTGCCCAAAATTTTTTGTGTTAAGATCTACTTTTCAAATGACGAGCTACATGAGATCTACCAACGAAATAAAACCTCCCTCACTCTCTCTCTCTCCTGGCTGTCTCTCTTCTGGCTGTCTTTCCTCGCTCTCTCCTGGCTCTCTCTCTCCTGGCTCTCTCTCTCCTGGCTCTCTCTCTCCTGGCTGTCTTTCCTCGCTCTCTCTCTCTCCTGGCTGTCTTTCCTCGCTCTCTCTCTCTCCTGGCTGTCATTCTTCGTTTTCTCTCCTGGCTGTCTCTCCCCGCTCTCTCCCCTGGCTCACCTTGCTGTATTTTGCAAACAGTGTAGGGCAACAGGCTCTGTACACTAATATTCTTTGATGTAATACATAGCACTGCAACCCCCAATATCCACCAGAAAGGTGTCGGGGAGCTTGGCTCAGCTGACTCAGGCTGATAGGTAATAATGTGTGCACAGCTAAATATATATACTAAAATGTAATAAAGGGGCCGCCATTCACACCCTTTGTGATCTACCAGCATCAGCTTTGAGAGCTACTGCTAGATCACCATCTACCTAATGGGCACCCCTGCTCTAGGCCATAGATCAACATCTAAAGTTTCCCATTTTACAAGCCCTCCAGAACGTAGAGAAATTCATTTTCGGAGACGGACACCTTGCTTGTGACTTACGAGCCCACGAAGACCCGGTGACATTCCTTGACTGTTTTGCATTAGGCTTTATCCCTCAAGAATTCACCCTTGCACTGGGGAAGGTTGCAGACATAAGCCTTGCAATGGTTTCAGGCAGCCGGTATCTGGAAATGATTTGACTCACATCTGTATTCAAATGCGCTCCTAAAATCCGTCACAGATAAACTGGTATCTGATCATCCAAAAACAAACAGCCTGCCAATGTGATACAGATGGGGGCATCACATGTGTTCTTTGTCCTTTATCAAAGATAAAATATGCCCACGCGTTATACATTCTGCATAGACGGGCAGTAAAACATATCAGCACGCTATATATTATCCAGCGCAGACAGCATGTGGATTTCCATTCCTCTATACGATAATACGTCTCCGTCTGGTGGATTACGATGGGACCGAATTGATAGTCTGGGGCTGCGGGGCAGAATTTAGGTTAACCATCACCGATTGACATACCGCCTGTAGTAATTCCATCCCTGTCTCCTGACTGCAGCCCTGCTATAGCTTTAGAATACATGACTTGTATTCTCTTGAAGCACTTCTGTACCCCTCTGTGCACCCCGTAATGGGCCAGAGCAATTCTTACATGTCTGCTACGGGTCTATTAGTTCGGCAGAAACGTCGGCGGTGCTTGTCATAACAAAGTAATACCGATATTATTTTCAAGACAAACACAGATTCATTTTTTGGGAGCAACATTGTTGTACAAAAGCTATTTGATTTTCTGCATAGTTTGCAATCTAAAGCTTCTTTGAGGCATGCTGATTGGAGAGCGCTAGGTCTGACTTAGCAGGGGGTATGCTGGATCTCTGCAGTGACACCAATGTTTCCACACAGAGCAAGGCTCCTTCTTTGAGGCACGTTGATTGGAGAGCTCTAGGTCTGACTTAGCAGGGGGCTTGTTGGATCTTTGCAGTGACGCCACTGTTTCCACACAGAGCAAGGGTCCTTCTCTGAGGCACGCAGATTGGAGAGTTCTGAGTCTGACTTAGCAGGGGGTGTGTTGGATCTCTGCTGTGACACCACTGTTTCCACACAGAGCAAGGGTCCTTCTTTGAGGCACGCTGATTGGAGAGCGCTAGGTCTGACTTAGCAGGGGGTTTGTTGGATCTCTGCAGTGACCCCACTGTTTCCACACAGAGCAAGGGTCCTTCTCTG